GTTTATTAGGCAGTACGTACTGGAGGGGGACCCCACCAAAGGTTAGAGGGATACACTCCCCTGTAGGCATAATGGAAGCCCTGCTATTTATACAGCTCTACAAGGAAGGGGAAGGGAAAAGAACACATACGTATACATATTCATCTGATGATGCAGGCACTCCTAAATGAGCAGTACTTCTCAAGTTACTTTCTGTCCCTGTTCTTGGCCGCTATCTACAAGGACAGAACAACTGCGATCTATAAGGAAAGCAGTAGTGTTGGAGGGGAAGAAACAAATTGTTCAAGGTGCCAACTGCCAGGAAGAAGACATCCTCCCTTACGTTGCTATGGGGATGTTTGTGATAAGCGGTTTACAGTCAACCTAGTTCATGTCAGCTTCAAGGGTGCTGCGCATTCCTTTATGTTTCAATTTTATTAAGGCGATCCCATTCATCTGAGGCCTCTAAAACTTGCTTCTTTCACCCAAAGATTCACCCAAGGATATATTTTTCTCACAGTAGTTAGAAGAGATTTTAAAATATCACTCAAGGGCACTTGAGGCCTCTAAAACTTGCTTCTTTCACCCAAAGATTCACCCAAGGATATATTTTTCTCACAGTAGTTAGAAGAGATTTTAAAATATCACTCAAGGGCACTTTAAGTTGTAATATTTGAGAGAGCTGGAATGGCATTAGCATATTAAGACTCCCAGATATAGGAACAAAAACAATAGTTAAAGCTCTATTTTAAAGGAAGGCAAGAAGGTAAATCAATTAAAAATGGTGACATTTAATCACCAAAGAGGTATTTATTATGTGTTAATGAATGACAGCTTCCCTATCAACAAATCAGCAGTTGGCACTAAAGACTCTAAGCAATACTGTAATTATGTAAAATATCTGATGAATTTATTATTATTTTTTAAAATCTTACCATGGACCTAGTCTTGATGGATGCTTTATGTCAGTGCTTGTCCATACTGACAAATGTACAGTAGCTTTTTTTCCCCCCATGAAGTTGGAAAGAACTACATCTAAGTTTCCCAGGACAAATGGTTGGGGAGAAATAAGACTTTTGGCCAACAGTCTGAAATCAAGGCCAACCTTCAGTGGTTGATATGAAGATGCCCAAAGGAGACAGGTGAGAGTGGGGTGGCTGAACCAGACGGTCTTTAGAAGCTTTTTTGTTTTGGGTTTTTTTTTTTTTCAAATTAAGTCATAAGGTATAGGGCAGCTTCTTGGAGATTGCGAACACATTTGGAAGGTGATGTTCTCACCAACTGTCTGCTGTGAGAGGAGTGGCCTGTTCACAAAATATCCATATACCAGAAGTACACTAATGAAATTATTCTATTCTAAACCATTTAGCTCCCCAGGATGCTACCTGCCACCTCAGCTTATCTTTGTCTTTTTCTGAGTGCCCCTTCCTAAAAATGTATTAGGGTTTCGATACCACCATTTTTATTTTCCAAGAATCCATCTTGGAAACGAAGTGGAAGCTAGAGACTTGCGCTTTGCAGTATGTCAAGTTCCAGTGTTTAATTTTCAAGGAAAATAACGTTAAAAAAATATGTCAGGTGAGGCAGAGCCTCATAATCATCTGTTTAGTCTTACAATGAAAAGATATGGATCAAGTGCAGGTAACATCTAAAGAATCATGTTTCCGTGAAAACTGTATTTCCATTTCTAATGTTGCTCTGCTTTAGTAAAAGGAATTCGTGAGTTTTGTGTTGGCACAGATCTCTTCTTTCATTCTTACCTGCTTTGCTCCTTCCAACATGAAAAAAAGTATATCAGAAGTGGCTTTACTATACAATTTGGGTCGTCATTGTTTGCTTTGTGTCTTTCTTCGGTCACTGAAGTTGCTTATATTTGTTTTCAAAGAAGAGTCTGTGACCTTAGGAATGTATATGATGTTCATCTTCTGTCTTCTGCCTCCAAGGGTCCATATCTGTAATTGAAACTTTGGACTATGAAACGTGTAAGGATTTCTTCCTTGTCATTGAAGCTAAAGATGGGGGCAGCCCCGCTCTGAGTGCTGTGACCACAGTGAATATAAATGTGACAGATGTTAATGATAACGCACCCAGATTTAGCCAAGAAGTCTATAGTGCAGTCATCAGCGAAGACTCATCCATTGGTGATTCATTAATAATGGTGAGTTCTGAGTTTTTCTTCCCATATCACCAGGATAAATGGTTAATTGTAAGTGAATACAGGTTGAACTTTCTTAGTGGTAACAGATATTGATGACATTGGCAGGGATTATGCAGACAGCACCTATCAGGAGAAATGTAGTCAAATATCTAGGGGTCTTCAGCAGGGATGTAAAAGAAATCTAGTACTGAGATGACAGACAGAATTCTTGACTGGCGAAGTTAAAATTAAATACATATTCATGAAATTTTTACAGGGACAGTGTATCTTTTGAAAGTTTTGTTAAAATGCAGGTTGCACGAGCCCAATTCACTTATGGTGCTAAACCATAATATAGTTTGTTTAGTTTGACATAGCATGCTGCGTAATCAAGCCAATTATAAATCATGGTGAAGCAAAGCATGGGTTAGTGTGATGTACGAAGCAAGTCTTAATTGCAAGATGACAATTGAATTAACTTCCCAAAGTTGAGAATAGCTCCCCCATTGGTTTTCCCATTTGGACTTTTCTGATCTAGCATGTATTTAATCATGGACCTTTATTCAGATGAGACCCTGATGGATCAAAATATTCTCTTTGTACATTCCAAGGGGAAAGTACATACTTATATGCTACCTATTTCAGATACCTATCTCTATGGAATTCTGATAGACCATCAGTGCCAATCTGATGTATTTTTAAATATATCATGTAATAGCATTTAACCAAATGTACATTTGTGGTGATCTGGTATACCAAACAATTGGTGATTTGGTAATCAGTTCATTAGTCATCATTCTCCCTTCTATTTCTAATTCCTCATCTTTCCAAAGTTGATAGCTGAAGATGTGGACAGTCCTCCCAATGGACAGGTTTCTTTCTCCATTATCAGTGGAGATCAGAATAATGAATTTTCAATCGATCCTGGCTTGGGGCTGATTAAAGTTAAAAAGAGATTGGACCGAGAACGGGTAAGGTCATCCTATTTCATTGCTTTTTCATTGCCTTTTTCATGCAGCTAGTATTAATAATTGATAAATACTTACAAGTTTCTATTACACCGGTAAAGTTTTTCCAAGATTATTCTTTGGCATTTTCCTATTGCATTGCTGATTGAACCCCCTCCTTTCCCAGTGTCCTAATCCCATTTTGAAGTATTTGCCCCATTGCTGACATCCTTCATTGTAGAAGCTTGGAGTTCCTATTTTTCAGAAAAAGAGACAAAAAAATCTATACTAATGAGATAAGAGATTTGTACAGGAAAGAGATGATTGAGGCAAAAAAAGCATGCAACTTTCTGTGATGTGCTTTCTCAAAAATTAGTAGAGCTCACGTGATATCAAGTGGGGAAGATGTTGAAGCAGAACTGAGAAGACCCAGGTTCAGGTCCATCATCAACCACAGAAATTCACTGGGTGACTTTAGGCCAGTCTCTCTTAGTCCAATCTGAGGATAAAATGTAGGTATATGTAAGCTACCTTGAGCTTCTGAAAAATAGGTGGAACATAAATCTAAGATATAAACAAATGATTTAAAATATTCTGGGAGTGCAAGTTCTACTGACATAACCCATCCCCACTATTTTTCAAGTTTATGTGCCTCTGATTATTGCGTGTTTTATATTTACTTTATGAATGAATTAGTTTATATATAGAGCTGGCTGAGGACCTCAAGGAAACCTGCCGAGGATAAATACAAGGAATGGGTGAAGCCAGCAGGAAAAAATATAATCAGGACCTTGGAGAGCTCAGTGTATGGAAATACAGGCTTAATTAACTCTCAACTCAACGTGAGCAACTTTCCTTCCAGCACTCATCTAAGCTCATACTAAGGCTTTAATAAAGCTGAAGAGCCTGTGATTCCTTAGCTCCAGTCCTGCTTACTGCTGATTTTGGACTGAAGAGCACATGACCCTTTCTAACATTTGAGACTCCTGCATAGCTGGGAAATTGCAGAAACTATAGAAGAGTCTGAAACAAAGATTTCGGAAAGCAAACCATAAAATCATTATAATGGATATAGTAGTACGGTAACCTGGGTCCTTTGTTAGATGCTGAACCCAGGGATATGACAAGACCCCTAAACTCCAGAATGAATAGAAGAGTTGGCTATTTGGGGGCATAACACTGAACTGCAATTTATTGTTGTGGGAACAATCACAGATACCTCTGACTCTTCCTTCCTCTATTGCAGTTTCAGGTCAGACATGGGAAGTTTTTCCTTCTCCTTTGAATTATTCCAAAGAAAAAGAAAAAAGTTATTAGGATTAAATGTGTTTAAGGCAGAGGCAAAACCTCCCAAATTGCACCACTGAATATCAGGAGCATAACACTGAACATTGGTGAATGGGGTTTGCTGCCAACTGCTCAGCAGGAAACAGTGGAAACTGATAGATTAAGCCTAGTGTTGGTTTAACATCCTTATGAAAGTCACAGTCCCGCTCCAAACAACCTCCAAATAAGACCAACTTTTTGAATTAAAAAATTTACCTTTATCCCTCTGCTGAAAATGTTATGTTGCTATCCATTTCCTGCAGTCTTTGGTCATCCTGTCATCATATTTTAAAAGGTACAACATTAACTACAAAAAGAATGTTTGTTCCTAAGTTTAAGAAAACAAGCCGGCACTGTAAACCAGGAATCAAAGTTCATGTGCTCCTTTGGCCTCATTCTAAATGCTCTCTAAAAGCTACCCATTCATACTTCAAAGCATGAGTGTCTGTTCCTCAGTTTGGCAGTCCATTCCATAGGGAGCAAGCAAGAGAGAGATGTAACAAAATTAGAGAAAAAGGAGGACAGATGAAAGAGGAAACTCTGAATAATTTTGATTTAGATCTCACTTACAGCTGCCATCACCTTCACTTGTCACCTGCATGACACTCACTGAGATCATTCAAGAAAATTAGTTAGCCACAAATATGTTTTAAAGCTCCACTTTAAACCATTGTTAACTTTGTAATTTGTCTGAGTTCAGGCAGGAAGTTTAAGAAAGTCAAAATGTTCCAGATTTCTCCTAGTGGGTGTGTTGGAGGAAGACCATGATTATGCATACTGACCTCTGCGTCAAAGATAGCAACCTGATCTGGCTGCAGAGCACCAGGTCACCACTAGATGGTGGCAGAGAGGCACTGAAAACTATATCCTGCAATGACGCGGGCATGCCAGTGTTTCCAATCCTAATATGACAGTGCTAATGCAATAGACATTGGCATTCCATTAACACAGATTCAGTACTATTGTGCCAAAATGAAATTTATTGCTGCATAAAGTCTATTTCATCCCCTCATTTCTCTGCATTGTTGATAAGGCCATATAACCTCCTTAAAGAACAAGTTTCCAACCACACAATGCTAAGACAATGTGAAAAACCACACAAGCTAAAACTGTCAGAAAGTGATCCCACTTTTTTCACACAAAATAAATTTTGCATGGGAAAGTAAAGCTTCATTCTCACAGAAGCTTGACTCCTGAAGGTGATGTGCACACATCCACATAATTTTCTTTAGAACAGCATAAAGGGGTTCTTCTAGGATGATGATGATACAATCATCATGATCATGATCATGATGATTTCCCAGTCTACTCTGCAGTTCTGGCATTTCCTGGTCATCCATGTACTGATCCGGGCCAACCCTGTTTAACGTTTCTGAGATCAGCCAAGATCAGCTAGGTGCTCTGTTTTCTTGAAAGAAGAAAAATATCTCCACTTGGAAAAAAAATACTCTATTTGCCTCAAGGCTGCTTAATGCAAAAGAAAACATACTTCCCATATTAATACCACAGCAGGCTAGAGCTATCAATATTTGAATCACCATTATAAATAGTTTGCCAGCAGAATGCAGGCGAAGCAGAGGGTGGGTGGATCTGTTGCCATCTGTGGACTATGGGAAGACTCTCGAGGAAGAATTAGGCGGTTACATCGGAATTAAGTGGGATGTCAGCAGAACCTCCAGTCTGATGGTTCTGAATGAAACCTTGAAATGTTGCAAACCCTAATCACGCATACCTAAGAATATAGATTCAAATGACAACCAATGCTGTTTGCACAAAACAGCAGTGTGGGATCCCAGGCGTTAAGTTGATTTAAAGCGATGTAGACAGATGGTATGTTCACACCCTTGCATGCTCCAGAGTATACTTTTGCCTTAAAAAAATGGGAACTGGCCCATCATCCTGTACTCCACCCACCTTGCTTCTCCCCATTTGCCAGTAATATATATTTCATAGAAGTAACCTCGTCAAGTGTGTTTCTCACTACTCTGAGCATCCCTCACTTCCATGGCTGCTACCTGCAGAATAATGGTTGCAGGGTTGCTTTTATCCAAACTGAAGCTAACGGGTTAGCTTCCAAATAAACAAAGACAGCACCATAATGCATTAATGTCTTTCTCTCGATTGTCTTCTTAATGTCTTCTCAGGCAAGAAGTCTAAGTGCTGCTTGCCCAAAAGCTAGGACATCAGAATGAAGCTCTTCCCACAGATTTGTGTATACAAGGATCTTACAATCGTTATCCATCTTTTTTTTTCCTTGGGTTTTTTTTTTTTTTTGTACCTTCGATTCAGTCTTGACTCCTGGCAACTGCCTGGACAAGTCCCTGCAGCTTTCCTGGCAAGGTTTTTTGGAAGTGGTTTGCCCTTGCCTCCTTCCTAGGGCTGAGAGAGAGGGACTGGCCCAAGGTTACCCAGCTGGCCTTGTGCCCAAAGCAGGACTAGAACTCCCGATCTCCTGGTTTCTAGCCTGATGCCTTAACTACTACACCAAACTGGCACTCTCTATCTAATAAGTATAATTAAATAGAAGATTTTTTAAAATAGTACACTTACCATCTTACTTCTCCAATCTATTAAGAACCTTGAATTTTCTCTGAATGTTTATATGTTTTAAATCTAGGAAACTAAGTGTTCTATGGGTATGAGATACTTCTTGGGCACAGTTGTTCACAAGGTTGGCTTAAGCCTCCTGCTATCACAGGAAGCACTGAAGCCACAATGTGGTTTTTAGAAATAAATTTTGGAATCCATTCTTGTAATACAACTGATTGTGCTGCCTAAGTCTATATTTGATACCTGTGAAGGTTTGAAAGCATGTTTGTGCATAGATATTTCTTAAAACTATAGTGGCTGATATTAAATTTCTTAGGTAAGATGCTTAGATGTTTATTTTTTTAAGTACTGCATTATGTGCAGCATCATCTCATGGAGTAATTTTAATGGACTGGAGCCATTATGTTTATGGATTCCTTTCCTAAAAAAGAAAAAGCATTTGAGCCACATTGCAGCACAAAATGCAGAAATGCCATTACACAAAACCCAGGTAATGTAGCCCAGACTCTTCTGTTAGACCACCTGGTGCTTTTTGAACGTTGAGCACTATGGTTGCCACAACCTTTGCCTATAATGGTTGAGGATGATGGGAGCTGAACTCAAAACACCTTGAGGGCATCAAATTCTCTTTCACCTGGTAGAGGATTTGACCTATCTATGAATTTCTATGGTAAAATCCTAGAGGAAGAAAGCAAATTATACTTCATCAGTCTATTGAGGGTCTTATTTGAATCTTCCCCCCCAACTATCTGCTGTGTGTGATAGTGAGAGTGAGAACATAATGGAGCAATGGATGTGCGTCCAAGTATGTCCCATCAGTTCTGGCAGAAGAGGTGTGCTACAGATCCTATCTGCTAGGGAGCTACACTTGGTGGGTCCTCGGAGCAGGGCCTTCATCTGCCATGGCGCCCACCTTATGGAACATCCTCCCCCCCCCCCCCCCCCCCCACAAGGTGAGGCTGGCTCCATCCCTGTTCACTTTCTGGAAGTCCCTCAAAACCTGGTTATGCCATCAGGCCTGGGGGCCCCAGGGGACCAGCGAGGTACTAAGGTGGCTCCATTGTTGTTGACATCTGCTGTCCTTTCTTAGCCTTCGTGATTTTTAAAAATTTTTTAAATAATAATTGCTTTTTTTACGTAAACTGTTTTATCATTTTATTGTACACCATCCAGAGTAACTGTTTCATGAGATGGGTGGCCATATAAAATGAATGAATGAATGAATGAATGAATGAATGAATGAATGAATGAATATACATTTATGGGCTGTGGTACCACACTCATCACCAGTCCTTTCCATTTGCATGGCCCCCAAAGGCTCCACAGAGGTCAGTAAACTCTCTACTCCAAAAGGTGGGTCATCCCTACCTTACTAGAATCTCTACAACTCTTCCTCTGCTAAAAGAGAGAGAGGGAGGGAAGGGAAAATAAAATAGACATAAACTATTAAGCAAGTGTTATAATTAGTCTCAGGATGGAGATTGGAGACCAGATAAATTAAGGTGTCAGGAACTCTTGATAGGAAAACTGTATCAAACAGTCCATTCTTGTTCCTGGTTTCTTCCAAGTTCCTCTTATTTTTGGACTGTTGCAGGATTTATTGCTTTCTATTCAGCAGTGCTTTGTCATTAGTGAAAAATACACCCTGCATCATTCTCTTCCTAGAAATGTGGCACTAATTGGAGTTAAACTTGAGGATAACATAGGGCCCTTTAGTCACTATTGGAAAAATTTACAAACCAATTCAGGGTAGAAGTTCTTGTGTCCCTTGTTTGAAACTTCCCTCCGTTGCCAAAACACCACTGAAAAAGACAGTGCTTTACAAGCTGACAGAAGCTTCATTTTTTTTCTCTTCTCTTTACCTGCTCTTTTTCTGTCATGCATTTATTTGTTTGTTTGCTGTTATAAAAACAATGTGAGTCTTTGCTTGGAATCGGAAATGGTAAATCCATTCTGCTACTTCAGAATTTCTACCACAATTTCTGTATATACTGATTGTAAAAAGAGAGAGAGAAGGATGGAATTTGGAACCTTTCCTAGATTAATTTAAGGTTTTTGTTTAACATCATTTGTGCAGGTTTCAGGATATTCATTAGTTGTACAGGCCCAAGACAGTGGTAGTCCTCCTTTGTCAACCACAGTGACGGTCAACGTTGACATTTCTGACGTGAACGATAACAGTCCTGTCTTTACGCCTGCCAATTATACAGCTGTGATTCAAGTAAGTTGATCCAGAACATCCCAGAAGACCTTCCCTTCTGACGTTTAAGATATAAAGATGTTTGCATACAATTTCAAACACAGTTGATTTATCAGCCTGGGGTGCATTATCTTTCTTTACAAGGAAAGGATTAAAATGTTATTTCTTAATTACCTGAGTAATGCATTTTCTATTTATAGGGATAATTAAACACCAGGTCCCACTATACGATAGTAGGATGGTACAAAAGGGTGCTCTGAAAAGACGTGCTAAGTAGCCGTTCAGTAGCTGCAGTTCTTTACGCACCTAACTTGGGAGTAAGACCTGTTAAATCAGTGCAACCTACTGCCAAGAAATTTGCTCTGCAGAATAAATATATCATGTAGGATGTCATTATCAATTCTAGATTTTATATTATGTGATGATTTAGACTATTTTAATGGTATGTGGGAATGACCTTGGGAGACAGGGGAAAGAGCTACAGTCGGGAACGGTCGGATAAGAGGCAGCTTAGCCCACAAAAGGCTTGTGGGTGTAGCAAACATCTCAGAAGAGACCCTCCCTAGTTTCTTGGACTGTAAAGGCAATGGGGGAGAACTGTACTTTCAGACTTGCAAGATTCTGTTCATGTAACCTTACAATAAAGTAGAATTAGTGTATGCTTCTTTTCTGGACTACCTCACATGGCTGACAGCTATTCAGAGTTTATCACGTATCTAATCTTGGTCATCTTTACAACAGCACCATAGGGTGACTCACCATTATTCCAAATTGGCTCAGACTAACCATAGTGAAGAACCCATCCCACACTGTGGGATGATCTTCCAGACGCACAGTGTGAAGACTGCAATCTGAAGTAGTTTGTCTCCTTTTGTTTTCCAGTATGTCAGCCCTCATTCTCATCTCCAAGCATTAGCTGCAACTGTAGTTTATCAGCAGTGAGATCAAACGTGCAACAAGCCCCATCAGTTACCATAAGCTGGTTCATAAATGAGAATGAGACTCAACATTTTTGTTTGTTTAGGAGTTCTCTGCAAGGATTCCAAGTCTCAGACACTTTAGATGGTGGTGTTGCTTTGTACTGGAATGCAGTGTGTCCTTACATGTGGACAGTAGGATAAAGTGTGGTCAAAGAGAAATTCGTGCAGATCTGTCTTCTGGAGTTACTCATTCCTTTGTCCACATTCACACATAGATTCTCAAATAGTAATAAAACACTTTGGTACTACCAGCATTACCAACTGCTCATACTTTATGGTGCATAGCGTAGATCAGTATTTCTCAGCCCTAGCCATTTTAAGACGTGTGGACTTCAACTCTCAGAACTCCCACTGGGAGTTGAAGTCTACACATTTTAAAATGGCTAAGGTTGAGAAACACTGGCATAGATAGACGAGAAGGGACATACACACTGGAATAAACTATTTCAGAAAGTTGGCAAAGATAATTGAAACCAGGCTGACAACCAGGAAGGATACCCCTCCTGTTTCTTGCTGATAAAATATAATAATAACCTAGAGTAGAGTTTATTAAGTAGAAGAGGCTATTGGAGATGGAAATAGAAATGCATCCCTAATTAAAGATTATAATTCTTGCTCTAAGTGGTCATCTAAACAAGTCTACAATATAGGTTATGCTAGCAGTACAAAAGTGGGAGGCAAATACACATTTTACAACAGATGGCAGATAAGAAAAAAGAAATGTTGCTATAAAAATGCTGCATTCTCACATGTTGTTCAGCAATGTGCCAAGATATAATTAAAATTCTGCCTCTCTGTCTCTCTCTCACTTTCTCTGCCTCTCTCTTTTTAACACTGCATTATGTGCTTATGTACAAAGGAAAACAAACCAGTGGGAACCAGTATTCTGCAACTGGTGGTAACTGATAAAGACTCCCTGCACAATGGCCCCCCTTTCACCTTCTCCATCGTGGCTGGAAATGAAGAGAAAGAATTCATGCTTGACCAGCAAGGCATCTTGCGATCCTCTGTCATCTTCAAACGCATGGTAGCCACTGAATATGTGCTCTGCGTTCAGGTACCAATTGATTTGTCCATTGGTGGAAAATGGTAGAACATCATTCCTAAGCCAGAGGTTTTTCTGTCCCTGTAACTATGATCACTTGCATGCAATGTTTCTAACAATCTTCCTTGTTAAAAGGAAAGAAGTATATTTTGCAACACGTTCTAAATGTTATTGAACAGGAGCGAAGTCCTTTGCATGAAATGAAACTTTGGAACTGATCGTTTTAATTCTGTAACTGTTTTTCCCTATAACCCACACAAAAATACTGTTTTACTGTATAAGCAAAAAAAATTCCACATTCTGATGGTTATCCAAGTTTAAATTCTGTGAGCGTTTCATGATCTACATACATAAAAAAACATACACGCCACTCAAATCCATTTTGCCTCCATAAACAATTATATCCTGTTTTGGAGCTTGCAAACTCTGGCTGCAGCTTTTTCCATTTGGAAAATTGATCACAAAGAGAAGATTTTCTCTTGTGAAAGAAAGAAGGGGAAGGGAGGAAGATACCCAGCTGTTCGCTACCTCCAAATTATGCACAGGCCACCTGTTATAACTGGGTGTTCCATTTTTAGTAAGAAATAACTGGAAATGTGAAGGTCTTTCAAATTCAACATTAGCAAACTGGCATGCTTGCCGCTGAAGTCCTTTGGTTCTACAGTAGACACACTGCTGAAAGTCTAAAGGGCTTTTCTTAAGTGTTTTTTCCATTATTTTTATTATAGTCTGAGGCACAGCCTGAAAATGATCAATGACATTTTGAACATTTGAGTGATGTTCAGGCATCTAAATCCAATCTTGATCCTTTGTTCCAGAAGCTGGGTGAGGGAGGGAAGTGTGACTACACAGCACCGTGGTTTATGAGGAAAGAGCATTTCAATGCTAGAGTGTATATTTTACTTGCAGAAATGCTCAGTTTCATCTCGGTTCATCTCAGGATCTCCACTGACAAGGCAGAAAAAGTCCTTGGCTTGTGATAACAGAAAGCCAATTGGCACAGATCACATATATCTCGATATTCAGCTTCCTATTAAGATGGAGATCTGGTTAGACAGTATTATTTCTCCTCCCATGCACCTTAGTTGCAGATATAATGGTGAGAATAACAACACCTTGCTGATCACGTGTATCCAGATTCTAGTTTCGCTGAGAAGCAAATTCTGTTGAAAGCATAGGATGCAATTTTATCTTAAAAGAAAAAAAGTAAATTACAGATGCTGGTGGGGGAAGAGGTAGGAGAAGGTTTACGTTTTCTACCTTTCCTTTCTCTTTCCCTCATGCTATGCATGAGGGGTTTATTTGTGTGTGTGTTCTGCTATAGATTTGACATCTGAGTTTTTGCTATGGAGCCTCTGAAATTCTTCTGAAGAAAGGGCTGCCCAGATATTTATAGACTCCCTTATTGGGCAGCATTTAAAGTGATTTTTGTGTTGCATCATTGGGTTTTCAGTTTCTCATTTCTTGAATTAGGCAAAGGATTCAGGAAAGCCTCAGCAGGTTTCCCATACCTACATTCAGATCCGGGTGATTGAAGAAAGCATTCACAAGCCAACAGCCATTCCCCTGGAGATTTTCATCGTTACTATGGAAGATGACTTTCCAGGAGGTGTTATTGGAAAGATACATGCAACAGACCAAGATGTATATGATGTCCTTACCTATGGCCTGAAGTCAGAACAGAAAAGTTTGTTCAAGGTTAACAACCATGATGGAAAGATCATTGCCCTTGGAGGTTTGGACAGTGGGAAGTATGTCCTGAATGTGTCAGTCAGTGATGGGCGGTTCCAGGTACCCATGGATGTGACAGTCCATGTTGAGCAGTTAGCGCAGGAGATGTTGCAGAATACAGTCACCATCCGCTTTGAGAATGTCTCCCCAGAGGATTTTGTGGGACTTCACATGCATGGATTCAGGCGCACTCTGCGCAACGCTGTCCTCACCCAAAAGCAAGATAGCTTACACATCATCAGTATTCAGCCTGTGGCAGGTAGTAATCAACTTGACATGCTATTTGCGGTTCAGATGCACACTGGTGGCTTCTATAAGCCAGCTTACTTGATTCAGAAGCTCACCAATGCAAGGCGACACTTGGAAAATGTGATTCGCATCGCTGCTATCCTTGAGAAGAATTGCTCTGGACTGGATTGTCAGGAGCAGCACTGTGAGCAAAATCTGTCTATTGATTCCCATTCCCTGATGACTTACAGCACGGCCCGGATTAGTTTTGTGTCTCCCCGATTCTACCGAAACGTACGCTGTTCTTGCAATGGTGAGTGCGACTTCCCATTTCCACCACTCTTGTTCTCCTCCATCCTCCCCATTCAAAGCTACTTTTTCTTCCTGTGACTGTGTAGCCAACCTAGGCAGCTCAGGTCAGCTACTTAAAAGAGCCTTTGTAAAGCAGAGTGCTGAGGATCTATTTCTCATGCCCAACAGGAACATTTGATGTTGCCTGAGGTCAGAGGAAGCTGGTGAACTATGACCTCTTGGGACAAAGCTAGCCAAACTTTCAGGATATGGCCCAATCAAAGAGGTCAACCAGCTTCATGCCATGGAAAAGGTTATGGGATTTTGGGGCCCAAATTTGAGGCCTTGAGTAAGAACAATCCCAGACAGTCTGCGGTATTTCAAACTGACGAGGACATCTGACCTGAGCGATAAAGTTTAAAAAGACTTTGACTCATTCTCTATTTTGCCAGAGTAATGAAAACCAATAAAGCATGTCATTAAGTAATTGAGACCAAGGGGGTTCTTGACCTTTCCCAGAGCATATTCAATATTGTATGGCCCCTCATTTATTTTTGTTGTCTTTCATTTGCGGGCACACACATAGAAAAAATGATTTGAAACTTCTGTACTATTTTGAAGGGGGCATAAATGACCAATGCATGCAATTCTGCAGAGTTTGCCTTTTTGCTGTGTTAGGTGCTGTAAAAACATAAGAAGAGCCCTGTTGGATTAGACGAACGGGCCATCACTGTGGTCAATGAAATGCAGGCGATATTTTTGGTGTGCTCCTTTCCTAGAATTTATACTTTAAGAAAATAATAGCAGAAGAAAATACCCTTGAGCAGAAATCAGTCCACAAAACCAAATTTTGCACAGCTGAAGAAAGGCTGATGTGAAGGAGGGGTATTCATTCTTAAAATATGTATCTTACTCAGAAACCTATTCCCACTGACAGATGCTGTGGAGAGTCATTGTTTATGCCTGCCAGCTGTGGAGCAATTCCACCTAGTTTACCTTGATTAGCGGACATAGTTACCAAAACTCAAAATAGGCTGAAAGCGGGGGAAGCAACGGGTGGGGGATCTCAAGGGGTTTGGACCTTTGTGTGGGTTTGGATAGCATTCAAAGAAGTAGATGGAGCAGTCCAGATCCTTTTACTTCCGTCTGTAAAGTTTAAGTTTCAGATTACCTGAGCTAATCTCGCAGACTTTAATGAAATTATTCAGAAGCTTACAGAATCAACCAGATGCCCCAAGCAAAAAAAGACGAGTACTGTATTTTTTTGCCCTGCGGAAAAAACAATTCCCCATTCTGGAACGAAATTACTGCATTGAGCTTTAACGTGCTAAATGCCACAGGTTTTGCAAAGTAGCCTTATTAGTGATTCCCTTCTCCAGTTGATTCTCCTCCTTTTAACCCAGTGGTTTTCTTTTGTTTCCACTCAGTTTGTGATCTTGCCATCTTTACCCTTCTTGTTGTTTCTTGTCGTTTTTAATGTCTCGTTTGAAAGGTCTAAATAATTGTGAGTAGTCCAGAGTCATTGTGAGTTGGGCAGCATAGAAATTTAATATATTATTATTTATTCTCTGTGTATACCACTGAATCAATAAAGAATCACAGCGGTTTAACAGCAGTCCAATAAAAATATACAACCAATTAAAACATCTACAGTAAGTACCCTTTATAGACTTTTTGCTGAAAATGAACTGCTGATTTTGGGATTTATTGATTAAAAAGGTTGTTTATGGGAAGAAGGGAGCTATGATACGCAATATGGGAGGATGGAGATGGTAATTATTAGGTTTGTAACTGTTGCAAAGAAGATCAGAAGTCACTTCTTTAGATACCTTTCTTTTCTTTCTTTTTTTGCTTTTTTTGTTAGTCACTTTTTCTTCTACCTTTTTATAATCTTTTTCTATTTCTTCTCCTATGTTTGTGTCGTTTTTTAAATCTTCGTAAAATCTTCTTTTAATAAAAATTATTTTTAAAAACATCCACAGTAAGCATCTTAAAATCAAAATTGTGAACAATATAGAACAATAATAAGTAATATTAGAAGAAGAGGGGGGGAAAAAAACAGCACAACCCAAATACAGTACAAAAATGGAATACAATACAATGAAATTAACCAAGGGGAAAAATTAACCAGTCAGTAAATAGTTCACAGAAGGGTTCTTTCTTAAGCAGCATAATTACTAGAGTTTGCACAGACCTTTCACTAATATACCTTGGATTCTTGATTGGGAAAGAATGAATGCTCGTGGATTTCATTTGATTTTGATATTAACGTTTGCCAAAATTATTTCTATCCCTAGTATATACCCATTTGAAATATTCTTCAAGTCAGTCTTTAAAACTTCACATTCAAGTCTCATGATTTTTATCCCAATTAAATTGTTCATGATACTGTGTATGTTCGGTTTTAGTCTCCTTTCTCTTCTTCTCTCCCCTCTTCCTCCTCTTAAAAATCGTTTAAAAGAATAAATGCAGACAGACAGACATAGAGATTATAGCATTCCTTCCAAAAATAAAAACGGTCCTGAATAAAAATGTACCTAATCCATCACAATTGATTTAGATGGGAAACCACAGTATAATTAATCTTCTTTTGTGATGCAAAAGTGACCTTTTATAATACAGTAATACAGTTTTCAAGTGTGTTGCAGATTATATTTAAATGAAGGACTTGACCAAGTGTTCTAATTTGTCTTATTTTGCCATACAGGCAGAATACGGATAGATGTAACTCCACCTCCGTGCAAGCAGCTTCAGTTAAGATACCTCCTTCCATCTCCCTGCTGACCCCTCATCGCAAATAGCACCTTCCCTTATTTATTTTAGCCATGATTTATCTTTATGTCACTACTGAGGAAACTGTTGTGTATCCTAACCTAGTTCTTTCTGTGTGTGTGTGTGTGTGTGTGTCTGTGTCTGTGTGTGTGTAGCCATAGTCCATATTCAGGTATACAGTGGTTTTGAATTCTTTATGAAGAATTATTTCTAACATTTTTCTTACTATTTTCATCATTTTATTATTATTTTCATCATTTTTAACATTAAGAATCATCTAGCATAATGTTGAAGTTAACTCTGCAGCTTAGGTCAAGAAGATGTAAAGTCTCCAAGATGAGCTCAAATGAAGCTTTTTCAGGTTGAGCTCTTGGTAACCATGTGTACTCATCCATCTAGGTTTGTTCGGCAACACTGGTTTTCTCTTGTCTTCTTCTGGGATTTTTTAAACTTCCCAGCCTATTCTGCAAGAACCAGTTTGATGTAGTGGTTAAGGCATCAGGCTAGAAACCAGGAGGCTGTAAATTCTAGTCCCGCCTTAGGCACAAAGCCAGCTGGGGGACCTTGGGCCAGTCACTCTCTCTCAGCCCTAGGAAGGAGGCAATGGCAAGCCACTTCCAAAAAACCTTGCCAAGAAAGCTGCAGGGACTTGTCCAGGCTGTCGCCAGGAGCCAATCCTGACTCAAAGGCATGCGTGCACACACGCACACACAAAGTCTAATCTGCAGCCCTTGAATTTCCTACTGGTCTCTTTCCTAACTACTGACCCTCCTTAGTTTCCAAACCCAGATAAGATAAGCCTGATGCTGCTATCTACTGAGACCATGTTTCTAATCCTGCTTAGCTATGATGGTTTGGATGGTGCTGGTCTTCCGTAAGGCTTTTGGTTTTTCCTGAGTGCTGGATTAGGATGTTGAATGAGCCTGTCTGGAAAATTGGTTTAAAAGTGCTGTTTTTTTACTTCTGTTTTAGTGGTTTTAAACTATGTTGTCATAGTGTTTATGTTTATTGTTTATCTTTTATTTTGAATCCTCTGTTCACTACGTAGTGTCATATTTTGCGAGTTGGGTGGGTATACAACTAAGAGAGGGAGAGAGAGATCACTGGCCATTATTGGTTCAGCTAATGTGTTTCAGCTTAATTTTATAATATTGTTTCAAGGACAAAGGGCTGTTCAGAAGGAGGGTGAAATATCAATGTGAACAGATGCATGAAAAAACATGGTTGAAATTGCTAAGAAGGGAGCATTGTGTTCATGTGATCCTAAGTTGGCTCTCCATTTGCAAATGATGGTTTCCAGGACCACCATTAATCCTGGTTCGTGCATAATGCTAAGCCATGATGTGGCATGTTGGGTATTGGCATATCTAGAACCAAGCCAACTCATCCATTGCAGCATGGGAGAGGTGCACGTGATCCCCAAGCTGCAGTTTTGCAGCTGCAGAATTACCTGCCGAATTATCTATCACAAAATCCCAGGGTCTTGATTGCTATCAGGAGGAGCTTTATGAATCAGTCTGCTAACCCAATTTACCTTTTGTAAGGCTCTTAAGAACTTAATGTTGGGCACTGGGCCAGAGTTTTGAGTGAGCTCACCTCTGGGAAGCATGGTAGGCTCTTCAATTGCCAGTTTGTCTGCTGTTTTGTTACAAATTGTTTTTCTTTTTGGGATTGTTTTTAATTTGTTGGCTGTAGTAGTTAGCCACGCAGGTTGAATAAATGAATTAAATACCGGCTTTCATAGATGCTCCATAAAAATGGGAGATTCCATTCAAACTAAAATAACAGTTATGTTAGAACTAGACTGTTTAAACCTTTCAGCAGTAAAATCTTTAAAATAGGTTTTACGCAGTTGAAGACAAAGAGGAGCTTGAACTCCTTCTGTCACCCAAGGACTCAGGAAAAAAATTGAAGTTTGTGGCTCTCATATAGACGCACACAGCAGCTGTGCCTTCCTTGCATCATCATCATCTTCATCATCAACACACACACACCCAGTGCATTCTTCAGTCCCGCACATCCTGGCTTAACATTCTGGGTGAACTTGAATTGTGACTCCCACAAACCTCTAGGTGCTATGTCAGCTTTTTAAAACCATTCTCTAGCAATTTTCTAAACCACTGCAGGAACATTTAGAGACTTGTGGTTATGGTCAGCAGGATTTCCATCTCCTAGAGGCATTTCTGAGAACCACAGTTAGTGGTGAATTTTCATGGTAATGGGAAGTAGGGAGTGGCAGTATATGACAGT